GCTGAAGTTACAGTTGTAGCTTCCTGAGTTGGTATTGCATATGCTTCAGGCCACTTGGTGAAATAATCCATCACCACACAAATGTACCTGTTTCCAGCACGAGTTCGGGGCAAAGGACCAGCAATGTCAACGGCTACTCTTTCCACTGGTGCACCAACTTGATATAACTTCATTGGATCATGTCCCTTATGCTTGGGTCCCCTTTTAGCACAACGTGTACTGCATGTCCCGCACCATTCTTCCACATCTTGCATCATACCTATCCAGTAAAGTCTCTGTCATTGGTGACTCAATGTCTTCCTAACTCCGAGATGTCCTCTTGTTAAATTATCATGGGATTGATGCAGCACAATTTCCCTTAACTTCCTCGGTATAACTGTTTGCCAGGTCGTCACTTTCCCATCTGCAGTTTCCAATCTCCGGAGAAGAATACCATCTTCAAGCTTCAACTGGCCCCATTGTGCCCAATAGTTCTTTGTCACGGGGCTTAAGTTAGACACCTTATCCCAAGCAGGGTGCAAAACACTTGCTTTTAGAAAATCAATTATTGGCTTCAAATCATCAACTTCTTCAGTCACTTTGACTTCAGCTTGATGGCACCTAGTTAGTCCAACCTCTCTTTTAACACTTACCGAAATTTGGCCTTTGTTGTTCTCAAACGTCATTTTATCGACTACACACTTCTTCGGTAGTAAGTAGTACAACCCTAATATGCATGGGTCTTCAATGTCAGCCAAGTATACTTTGTGCCTGTCCTTCATGCCCATGAGCTCAATAGTTACCCACACTGGTCCCCACAACCTTGCATAATGTCCTGTTACACCACAGAGCTTCTGTATGGTTTCTGGCACTCCTTTTTGATCCAGCACCTTGATACTCACAAGGGTTTGCTGAGATGCAGAATCTATGACAAAGTTGCACTTTTGGCCATCCAGCTTTCGTGTCATGTAGACACTATGTGTGCTTGCCATTTTACACTTAGCTGTTGGGACTTTCACAATGGGGGTTGATGGGTGTCCCTCAACACCAACCACTACTGGTCTCCCCGAGGCTGACTTATTGGTGGTATTCTTCTTACACTGACTCCTCATATGTCCTTGCTCTCCACAGTTCCAACAACTTTTCTGGGTAGCAGCCTTCCCTGCCGTGGCATCTTCGCCTGTGTTGAAGTTTCCGGCATTGAGCTCTCTTGTGCCCATGTTTGTTACAGTGCCAGCAAAGTCCCTCAAACCTCTCTGAAAGCTGCCCTTTTCTGGCCTTGAATCCTAATGACTGTACCAACCTTGGTACCTCTGTGCTGGACTTAATGTAGGATTCAAATTCGAGAGCTCTGGCCATTGCATCCTGCATAGTAGAAGGGTGTGCTTGCTTTATTTGTATTTTCAGTTGTGGCCTGTCTAAGGCATCTACAAACTGATCCCTCAGCAACATCTTGAGGACATCGGGTGGCACAGTTGGATAGGCCTTGTGTGCCATACTTTCCAAATCCTGTGCCACCTCTTGCAGGCTCTCCCCTTTAGCACAGACTCTAGTCCTAAACCTAGCCCTGTAGACTTCGGACTGATTTTGGGTTTTATACCTGAGTTCTAGAGCAGCTACCAGTGCTCTATAGTTGTACCTGTCGTCTGCTGACAACTGTTCAAGTGTTTCCAGTGGTTGTCCCTTCAAGATCGTTTCCAGGTACACTGCCTTCTGCTCCTCTGTCCATCTATTCATTTCTGCCAGTAGCTCAAATTGTGCTCTATATGCTTCCCATGGTGCCTTCCCATCGAATTCCTGTGGCTTCCTTCGTACTAGATCTCCCTATTGCTGACACTCATGTCTGGAATCTGACTTCTGGCAGGACTGAAGATGTTTGCATTAGGTCTTAGCTGCGCGGTCTGGAGG